GCATGAATTACGGGGATATCATGCATCTCTGTACAAAATTATTTATTTAGTAAATTTTATAATTAAAAAATTTTTGGTTTTACTGAATTAAAATTGTTATCAGAAGCAACCTTCTTAGCTATGTCAGGATTCCTATGAAAATTGTATGTCTTAGCAAGAGGAGCATTAATATTGCTACTCTCTCCTCTGATAATCTGTCAGTAGTTTGGCAAGATATTAGATCAATTGGATCATTACTCTCTGGATTCACCGAGATAGCTTTGGTTCTAGGTCCTTTTTTTTTTTCCCTCCCTGCCAACAGTTTTAGGTCCTTTTTCTTTATTTTCTCATCTTATAACTAATTATTATAGTTCCAATTCCCTAAGGACTCTGTAACATTTACCAAAACAAGTATGCATATGTGAAACGCCCTTTAAACTCAGAGCATATATTTGACTATTTTTACCCATAAGTAACGATAATACATTTTATGGTTTAACAATAAATGTATCAAATATTAAGCAGAGTTACTTCTTGTACAATAAAGTAATTGCTTAATAATATTCTATTCTTGTTCAATCTAACCAAGAGTGTTTCTGCAAATTTTAGTATATAAAAAGAAGGGGGCTTCTTTTGTATCAAGCAGCCTCCTTACATTATGCTCTCTCCAGTCCTTAATATAAGAGTCAAAATTCACTTTGTCTCTTCCATTTATCTATTTTTTTTCTTAAGATAGTTCTTATAGTAGTTGTATATGTTAAATGTTTCTTCAAATGATAGTTTTTGCTAACACACATAATTAGTATGAGTATTTTAAGGAAGACAACACATATTTATTACAAATAACTAATTTAACTAATTTTTTTAATCTACTCAAATTAGTCAATTAGTTTTTATATTAAAAATCGCATATACTATATTACACATAATATATATACACTTAACAAACCAATGTACAACAAAGCAAAAGCATATTACAATTAATATATATAAAATTTATATACATTCAATTAAAGCTTCAATGTCCAAAATTAAGAACATAAGTAGTACAAGTAACTAGAAGGAAAATTTTGATTTTTCAAGATAGTCAAAGGTTATTATACGGAAAAGGGTCTCTAAGGATTAATAACAAGTTTCATCCAGAACTTGGCAATCCAGTTTGAAACATGTTGAAAGAAAAAAAAAATCATTATTCATCACTTGTCACAAGTCATTAAAGAATTTATGTGAAATTGGAAAAATCTTGAGCTCTTGTGCAATTGACCACCTCATAACGTAAAGAATTAAGAGAGATATCTATATTTAGTATCTAATAGTGTCTCGAATATGATTACTTCCAATAAGAAAATACTTATGCATAGTAAAAAAAAACTATTTAGATCTAATATTTCAATTGAAATATTAAAAATTTAACTCGATATGTTATATAAAAATTTAAATAATGAATTTAGGCTATTGAAACTCGATAGACTGAACAAAGGCCAGAAGGAGGGCCGGGAAAGTTAAAATTACCGTATTATTCTTCCTACTCTTGTATTTGTACGACAATTTTAAAAAAAAAAAACGGAAAATTATCTGGCAACTGAAGATGAGAGAAAAAGAACGCAGTTTTTAAAAAATTATTTTTTTAATTCTCCATTGCCCATGGAACCTATGCTTTATAAATCAGTTCTTCCTATTCGTTACCCTCTCTTGCAGACTCCCCAACTTCGGATTTAGCGAAAGTCCACCCTTATTCGGCTTAATAATAATTCAGAAAAGCCCAAGTAAAAAAGTGGACTGACTAATTTGTAAATTAAATTAAAATAATTAACATTAATAGTTAAATCAAAATAATTACTTACAGGAGTTGAGTCTAATAAAAAGGGTTAATACCTTACAAAGTAACAAACTAATATTTAAATCCCTGCTAAAAGATGCGTCCATATTTAGTACAAGATAATACTTTTTACAAAATTGTCTCTAATAAGAGAATACTTATACCTAGGAAAAAAAACACAGTTAAAATAAATTTTATTTAATCAACAAAGCTAGAATTAATTTTAAATCAAAATCAAAATTAGTGATGGTTTAAAATGATTCTTTTGAAGGAAGAGGGATGAGTCCTTGTTTAGACACACTTGCTAGGATGAGTAATGAATGTTTTAGTAATTTGCCTACTTGTGAAATGCTGTTGGGGTGAATATATCTTTATGTGACATTCTATGAGATTGAGAGAATGGAATTTGGTTAATGGAATTGATAGAGGTTAAATTCTTGTTTGGAGGTTTTACCTAATGGATTAACTCTATCAAAGATAAATGCATGTTATATTCTGTTTAGAACTCGTGTGGATAAAGACTTGCTTGCTTGATAGATGTGCTTTCTATGCGGATAGGCCTATGAAGGGTCTAATTACTACTATAACTCTTCCAGAGGACCATGTTAAACTTGAAGTGGACAAGCCAAGATGGTAGGATGGCAGAGTCATTCAAAACGCTACTAATAGGCGGATATGAGTTCAATCATAGGCTTGCGGTGGTTCCTGCAATGATTACGGAATTTCTTGGTATTTTGAATGGTCTGAATCTTTGTTAAATCCAAGGTTTTAGGCATAACTCTTTACTGTGACTGTACTAGAGCAGTGAATGTAACTTTGAGAGGGTGCGAGAGCAACCATCCTTTTAAGGATATTATTAATGATGTCAGAGTACTATTACAAGTGTATTTGTACCATATTAATTAGTATGAATGAGATTAGAGTAGTGGATAGAACAACTAGATTAGCTTATATTATCCGATCCTTAATATAGAACTTAGTTGAGTAATTTAAAAAAATTAAAAAAGTTATTTATTTGTAGTAAATAAATATTGTTTTGTCTAAAAATATTTTTATTAATTATGTGGTTTGAGTTACCTATTAATAATAACTTCTTAACATTTACAATTGTAGGAGGGATTACTGGAACGCAAAATAGATAAATGTTGAAGACAAACTAAATTGAGGTTTTATATTTATGACTAAATTAAATGTTAAACTTACTCTCATACTAAAAAAAACACTAAAAAAAACAGAGGTAGTAGCTTAGATTCTAATTGGTGCCTCTTTGATATGTAACTACCTTTAGACCCTAGACGCGGAGATTGATGAACGGGGTGGGTGTCTTTTATTGTAATTTTGTTTTGAGAGTATTGATATCCAGTTTTTATTTTATATATATATATATATATATATATATATATATATAAACTCTATCAAGTTTTGCGTTTACACTAACAAGTCAATGTTATTGAACCCACAAGTTGGCTTACCATTTTCAACAAGTTAAATTCTGATTTGAAAGTTTTGCTTGACGGATTAACTCTCTAACAAATTCCATATTTACACTAACAAATCAATGTTACTGAACTGACAAGTTGGGTTCTCATTTTTACTAGGTTGACTTCTTGGTTTGAGGTGTTTGCTAGCTTAATAGATTAACTCTTACAAGCTTCACAATTACGTTGATAAGTTAAGGTGACTAGATTGACAACTTGGCATCTCATTTTTAACAAGTTAACTTCATTCTCACTCCAGTGGCTTGTTCAGATTTAGAGAGCTTTCTGTATTTTTACCCTTCATCCTATATTTCTCTACCAGTTCTCTAAACAGTCCCAAGTTAGGAAATCACAAGTGCAAAAAATAGTAATACCCCTGGGGAAAGAGTTACCTTGATCAGATCAAATCCTTCACATAAGCCCATGATAGGTCGAGATTTTCTGCACGACGGGTGTGAAAATTGGGCACCTTCTTTAATTGCTTCGATATTCAATAACTTTTTCTTTGTTGTACAGTTATTTCATTCATTTTGCATCCAAACTAATGTCTTCAAGGTGTGCAGTGTTGAATTCTTTTTTATCATCATTTTGAAAAATTTTAGCTAGAGAGGGCCTTTAATGGTGTTATCTTGGCAAAAAGTAGCATTTAGTACTAGCATCTCGGCTGAAGCCCCTTGGGCATGATAACTTTGTGGGGGTTCTATCTTCGATTCCAGGGGTGCGTGTGCTGGGGAGCTCTTCCCATGGGGAAGGGTAATGGGTGTGTGCGCGTAAAATTAAAAAAAAAAAAAAATCCTGATGTTATTTTTTTCAATTATATTCATTATTCCAATCTTATTTGTGATGTACCTAGCATTTTGACATTATTTTTCTAAACGCTCTAGTGTTTTCAACACTATACTCTCATTTATAGTACACTATGATCTTATTTATAGTTCACCTCCATAAATAAGATTAGGGTGTTTGATGTGAATCCAGAAATGAGAGTAACACTTGGTGATAAATGCATTGAATGTGAGGAAATAATATCTCCGGTTTTTAATATAACAGATAGTTTGACATTCAATTTAGTCTTAGGTATAAGATCCTAATTAATTTTGCCTTTTATATATATATATTTTTTAAAAAAGTCTTTGTAGTAGTGGGACATGTTAAATGTTTCATTAAATGGTAGTTTTAACTAATATACATAATTAGCAATGATATTTTAAGAAAAAAATACATATTTATTACAAATAATTAATTTAACTAATTTTCTTAATCTACTCAAATTAATCAACTACTCCACCGGTCCTTAATATAGGATCCAATTGTTGAGTTGGTTTTGGTCCTAAATATAAGACTCATTTATCATATTTATCAATTTTCTCTGAATTATCCCTATGGATACTCCCTCAACCATAATTAAGTAGGAGAGGAAGAGGGGGTATTAAGAAATATGATTATGATATTTTAGGAAAAACGTGTCATATTTCTTATAATTAACTAACTTACCTAACTTCTTTAATATAATCAAATTAATTAAATGAGTCTTATATTAAAAATTAGAAGAGTATCTTATGACAATATTGGATGCTATTCACCTAAAAAAAATTTAGAGCCAAGTATCTAATTTCAATATAACCAATGCATAATTTATTGGCTCATTTAGGAGACGTGGAATATTCAAATCCACAAGAAATGGCCGAATCCAGAGCCCGTTATCCCCACCCAACCCCCAGCGTGTTCCACAGAAGCGAGTGAGCTCTCCTCTGTTGTTTCCGCTCATCCTCTTGCATGAGAACAATGCCAATGTTCGCCACGACCCTCAGCTCCTTCCCGTCGATCTCCTCCTTCTCACAACTTTCCTCTTCTTCCTCCGATGTCTCCATTTCACCTTCAATCTCCTTTCCGTTCTCCAATCAATTCAATTTCTCAAAGTATGCCCATAAATTATCGGCCGTGAGAAACCACTGGTGTTATACTGCTAAAGTCTCCGTCTCTGGTAATACTGAAATTGATGAAAATCCTGAGACCCAACTCCATGATGACCCGTCTTCCTCACCGGACGCCGCTCGCCTGGCTCGGGTGTGTCATCGGTTATTCCTTAATTTTGAAAACATTTTAATCGTAGAATGTTATTTTGACTTGTGAGAGCGGCTATTTTGAGTCGCAAGAGATATGGGCTAAAATTAGTGGCAATGCTTATTGACAACCTTCGTTGGGTCTACAAGGTTCTGCAGTTTCTTTCTTTTGTTTTGGACGGAAAGTTTTTGCGGTTTCTAATAGTTGAGGAATTTAAAGAGAATCGGTTGTTATGGTTTCTTTCAATTGATAAAGGAAATATAAATAGTCGAGACAATGAACGCAGAATTCCCATTATCTTTGATTTCATGGCCTTGCGTGAGATTAAAGCATCCATGGATTTTGAACGGAAAGACGAGGACTTAGCGATTTACGGAAAGACGAGGACTTGACGATTTGAGTAGTATTCGCATATGAGCGGAAAACAATATAATGGAGAAAATGTTAGCTTACCATTCTGAGCGCTAGCTTCTTGTTTACTTTTGGAAGGTTATTTTAGTTGTAGTCATATGCAATATGCATAGCATTCAGTGATATTATTATTTTATACTTTAAGTTGAGCAACTTTGCAACTGCAGCTGCTATAATATAAACGCTTTATATATTTCACAAGATTTAAGAGGATACATGATTGATTATTTAACACAATCAGCTGGTTATTTGGATAGATCACAATTTAAGAAGAATTAGATTTTACATGGTGCAGTACTGCATGGGGAAGCCGATGTTCTGGAAAAATACCGGCATTGTGAGATAAATCGTAAATTTACTGTGTTCCCCTTTCTAGTTTTATAAATAATGAACATATGAATGTGTTCTCTTTAAATATTTGGGTTGTGACTTGCGAATTTTTAAGTTAATCCACTACCTTAATTTTGCATTGATGTCAGTTTTGATCACCATATGCCTAATACTTAATTTCTGCAAAGAATTAGAGATCTGCTGATTGGAAGGCTGCAAAGACATATAAAGATAGTGGGTTCATCTATGATGGCAGAATTGAAGACTTTAATGGTGGAGGACTGATAGTTCGATTTTATTCTCTTGTGGGGTTTCTCCCATTCCCACAGTTAAGCCCACTGCATTCTTGTAAAGGTACCCATATCTTCATACTGAATATATGTGTGTAACTTTTTCCTTGCTGTTAACATTTTCATATGGATTGAAGTGAAAAGAATTTGTTTAATCGTCCATCAAGTCTCCTGCAATCGGTTCTCTCTCCTTCGCCATTTTCTTTTTCCTCCCCCAGAAATTCCATGCTCCTTTATGTAAATTAATTCTGAGTTTATATCATTTACTCTTTTCTTATCGTAGGTACCAGTCCACGTCTTATTTTAAAGTAGCATGGAAGTACATAGGTCAGAAATTATCGATTAAAGTGAGATCTTTGAATACCACCCATATAGTTATAACAGTTTAAAAATATAATAACTACAGTCTCTAAAGTCTATAAGCAATTCAAAATCACTATCTTAAGTCACTACATATTTGATTTATTATGCTGCTGATACTGGTGCTCAATTAGCAGGATAACTGACTAGAAATGACTTAGCCCTCATCTTAATGGTAGTTTTACTTTGGACCATGTAACAGTCACTTCTATGTGCTATTTATTGATATTTGTGATGATAGTATCTGATGATTTTGGAAATTCAAATTCAAACTATATTAGTCAATTGAGTTCAGGAATTGATAACTTCATTAAATATTAATTTGATGCTAGAGATTTTTTTTTCCTGCGTACCTATATACTGTTATCCTGCAATGATTGATAGGTCTTCAACACTACTCTTCAAGTTGAAAGATTATAGTGGCAGGTGGAGTGTATATCTCTGACTTCTTGTTAGTGATATTTTGTTGTAGAGCCAAGCAAATCTATCCAGGACATTGCAAAAGGTTTAGTGGGTTCTCTTATATCTGTGAAGGTAATTTATTAATCAGTTCACTGCCATATCCTTTTGTTCTATGCTGTAATTGTATTCTATTTACTTACTAAACATTATTAGCACCTGATTGGGCATCCCTGCTAGATTCTGGTAATCAGTGACGTTGGGACCTTAAGGTCTTTATTTTATCAATCCTCTTCTGTTACAGCAAGTAAGGTGCTACGTATCTGCCTCTTGTCTTCTATGTGACATAATACTGTCACCATTTTTTTTCCTCCATCCCATCTTTTGCTATCCTGGTCGGCTGGCTAACTGTGTTTTGTCATGAGCTGAAATCCTTGTCTCACCATGGAAGCAAATACTGACATTTTTTCCCGCGTGAGACTATGCAATTATGACTGAGCCGGAATTTCTGTTTCCATTAGACATGAATTTCTTAACATGATCTCTTTGCTGCTTTAGTTCCTTCCTGTGCTTCCCTTCGTTAGTTACTGGATCGGTTTGGTGTTAGCATATGCTATTTCATCTTATATTGCGATTTTTTGACCTTTTTATGACATATAAATCAAGGATTGTTTTTAATATACAAATGATTGCAGTTTCTTGTAATTTTAGGTAATTCAAGCAGATGAAGATAAAAGGAAATTGATCTTCTCTGAAAAGGAAGCTGCCTGGTCTAGATATTCTGACCGGGTCAAGGTTGGGGATGTCTTGGAAGCAGTGGTTGGTTCTGTTGAGGACTATGGTGCTTTTGTTCATTTGCTCTTCCCTGACGGTAAGTGCTATGTATAATTCATAAGTTTCTAGTTTCCCTTTTCATTATATAATGGAAAAGTTGCAAGTGACATCACAGGACGATGCAGGCCTTTATCACCTCACTGGTCTGGTACACATCTCTGAAGTGTCGTGGGATCTAGTTCATGATGTCAGAGACATCTTAACAGAAGGTGATAAAGTGAAGGTCAAAGTTATTAGTGTTGATCGGTAAGTTTCCAACAAAACTTTTTAAAAGGACTTTGGTTTCATATTGATTTGTTCTGTTGAAATGCTGATTTTATTCTAGTAGACTGAGTAAATCCATGCTTTGAATCATTAAGCAACAAGGGATTCTTTTTTTTCCCCGTTCCCAAATTTTGTAATCACCTACATTGGTGTTGCATCCCTAGAGTTTGAAACAATCTTGTCTTTAATTTAGTGAACCACAGTGGTTAATCTTCGTGTTAGATTCGCATAGAAAATGGAAAAGATTTCAGCTTCGTAGCTTTTTCATTTTGCTTTTTTGTGTAACTCAAGTGTCTATGAGAAAACTACCATTTAGCGTTAATTTTTTTCATTTGAATTGTTGCAGAGAAAAATCAAGGATTAAGCTATCAATAAAACAGTTAGAAGAAGATCCACTTCTAGAAACTCTTGATAAAGTGATACCTCAGGTTTGTATTTACTTTGTCACTGTTAAATCACTAATTTCTAGTGAGAATGAAAGAAGTCAGTCTTAACCTTTGAATCTTGCATGAATGATTGGGATTTGAAACGCCAAGTCATATGACATTTTCATGTGATCGTGTGAGTTGGTTTTAATTTGTCTCATCTTGTAAAAGTAGTTTATCATTGAGATGAGAGGAGGAAATCCTGACTACTGGGTTTTGCATAAATGTCTAAGTGTATTAGATCATATAAGGTCGTGGCTTGGTCTTCTAATCCTGATTGAGTGCAAGATCTGATGGTCAAGATTTGATCCTCTCATTAGTGCTTAAAAGATACTCATTGGGATGCAATAAAGATAGCAGGAGATTCTCCCCCTAAATAAATTCTATACTGCAGAGTGGCTCAGATGATCTTGAATCTTCAAGTGATGGCACTAGCAATGCTATTGAGCCTCTACCTGGGCTTGAAACGATACTTGAGGAGCTACTCCAGGAAGATGGGTTAGTTTCCTTCGTTTTTTAAAAATAATTATACTAGGTTGAATGGAAATAATATCTTTCTTGTTCTCTAATTTTCTGGGAAGAAACAAAATATGATTATGTAGTATATAATCATGAACATGTACTAGGGACAGCTATGATTCTGATCTACCTCCCTTGCCTTTGATTTGATTATTTTGACTGCACCTATGTATAAATTAAACTACCTGGCAATTAATGCATCAAAAGAAGATGGAAGATTTAGATTAAAGTACCATGGCTTACTCTGACTGTTGTGTACTCAACAATGCATTTCCTTGGAACGTAGATCACCGACTTAAGAAAAATTTATCGTGTATCATATGAGCCTAACAATGTGAAAATATATGATTGCGTAATAAATATGTTCCTTGATTTTTTTTTTTTTGGTTTTTTTTGGGGGGGGGGGGTGTGTGTGGAATAGGTCAAGATAGTTTCAGGATCAGAAAATTACTTGGGTGTTGTTTAAGCTGGTAATGACTTCTGTTGGTGCTTAACAGAGAATAAGGTCCTGTTCTTGGTTTTCTTGAATGTTTCACCTTGCTTGTTTTGCCTTGAACCGTCCTTGAAATGAAGGACTTAGCAACCCATTGCTAAATTTGTTTTTCAGACCAGCCTGGACCGGCTTGCTTGGCAGCTGGCCCAATGAAACCCCTACTTCTTAATGTGGAATTCCTGATTTTCAGTTTATTGGGGATTTCTTCTTGCGTTATTTAGCCATCTAACTAGGGAGAGAACTATACTCATTCAATCCCAATTTTCCAAAAAATTAGTCTTAGCTTTTGTTCCTAATATTTTTATTATCAGGTATATAATATGACGTGTATGATTTTTCTATAATAACATGGCCATGGCATAGTTTAATTGAATAAACATATGTTGGCCAAAAAAAAAAAAAAAGAATAACCATATATATTTGTCCGCATAGATTGAAATTGTGTACTTAATGTTTTTATTAGAAAAATGTCTGGTGATCATATTTTCATCCTGGAATTTCATAGCGAAGATATTAGAAAGTTGCATATTAGTTATTTTTAATTAACCTTGCCACTCATTCATTTCCCTAACCTCATCATTTTGGGTTCCTGAGAAAAAGATGGCTATGTAGTTTTGCCGCTTTGACACTGTTACTTAAAACATAATTCCACTAAAATAAATATAGTTTCATTACTGTCTGTTACATTTATATGCTTTTTGTAGAACATAGTTAATCAATTTTCTTTTATATGCTCGAATCACCTTTGACTAATTTATTGATTCTGCAACTGGTTGTGATGCTATGCTGTTGCAGGATAGATGATGCCAGAATCAGCCGTCAAGGTTTCGAAAGACGGGTGGTTTCACAGGACTTGCAACTTTGGCTCTCTAATGTGAGTTTATCAGTCCTTGTAGGAGATAGTCTAAGGTGTTTATGTCAATGTCTGCTTTCTGTTAAGATCTGCGTCTATCGTTGTCGCAGGCACCTCCCATTGATAAAAGGTTTACTCTCCTTGCTCGGGCCGGAAGGCAGGTAATTTTCTTTTGAGGCCCCACTCTGGTACTGCCATACTCCCAGATGAAGATGACCAAAACTTTTTGTTTTTTGGCATTCCTTGGTATTTTAAATGAAAGAGAGATAAAATGTTTTTTCTTATTCCGGTTTGATGCATTGGTAGTTCTTTGTTTCAATAAGCCTGATAAGCGGTTCTAGGATGATCCTTTTGGCTCGGTAACTGAGTGACTTAAAACTGTTAGCAATTCAGGCCTGTGTAATTATTGTTTAGATTAGGTCTCTACTAGTGTCCCAACATGTCACTAGCACCCTTTGAGTACAATAACTACACGCATTATTTCACTAGGTGGCCGTCTGCTTGTTAGCATTATATTCCATCAACAACTAAATTTTTGAATAAATTATTAACTGAAAGGGCCAATTTAATAACTTCGTTAAGCGCTGCATTTAGTCTTCCTCTGCTCTGAGTCTAGTTAAATAATAATAATAATAAAACACCTACTATAACTGCTTGTGATGTGATGAATCAAATACTTGCAATAATTATATTGACGCCTTGCATGACCCCATCCAAACAGACTGGATCAGATTGTCATGGATAATTGTGTGCTGGGATGATGTAGGTACAGGAAATACACCTGACTACATCACTTGATCAGGAAGGTATCAAAAGGGCGCTGCAAAGGGTATTGGAACGTGTTCCTTAGTCCTGATGATGATGCTACCTGTTTTGCATGGTTATCACACTTTTAGAGTCCAGAATATCTCACACTTAAAGATTCAAATATTGACCAAGAGAGTTCAAATGTGGGCCCTTTGTATGTGATATCCACTTCCATGTTTTATGCCCAGAAATACATGGGCAAATAGTAATTCTCTCTATTCTTCCTTGTAGGACTTTTCAAGGACGGAAATCTTCACTATTCTTTGTCCTGAGTTCTGAACTTCTAATCGTACATATGTTGTCATGACTCATGAATCTCAAAAGTTAACAAGTAAATTGATGATTTTCTTTTTGTTCTTGTGTTTTTTTAATTCAAACTTTTGATAATTGAGTGTATGTATTTCATGTGTTAGAAAATCACATTTACCTCTTAAATTTTCAAAGCGTGGGATTGGCTTGTGGAGAGATTTTGATGGGGTTATAAATGATAATTGAGATGAGAATAGACCAGACAAAACGGAATCTTGTAACTCATAATCATTTTTTCAGTGGAAAAGCCAAACGCTTGCAAAAATTCAGATCAAACCTGCACAAATCAAATATTCGAATGTCATTTTTTTTTTTTTAGTTTGGTACTATAGTCCTAGATATAATATTTAGTTTGTAATGCAAATTATACTACAAATTAGATCTTCTGCGCAGGATTGAAGGTAGTATTACAAAAGTAAAAGCAATGCATGAATATAAAAAGTTAGTAATTTCTAGAATAAAATAATATTTACATTAAGTTTTTTATATTGAGGGTGTGAATTTTTTTGTGATAATATGTTAAGTTTTTTAATCATACATAATCATGTATTCTATTTTTGAAATATTAATATTTAATTATAAATCTCCATCGGAAAAAAAAAATCATATGGCCATATATGATTGGAGAATTTAACATAATGAATATAAAAAACTTGATCTAAGTATATTCCTAAAATACCCTTAAAGCCAAGAAAATATAAAATTATTCAATTTAATGTTATTTATAGACAATATTTTTGAATTGCTAAAAGTAAAAACAAAGTTCTGAAAAATCAATTTTAATTACAATAATACTACTTCATGTCCTTGATATAAGAGCTCATTAGAGATTTAATTTGGTTATAAATATAAAATCTCAATCCACTTTGTCTCTGATATTGGTTCATTTCTTCCCAAATAACCACTATAGTAATTGTATATCTTAAAAGGTTTTCATCAAAAAGTAGTTTTAATGTATATGGTTGACAAAAATATTTTAAGAAAAACAACACTCATTTATTACAACTAACTTAACTAATTTTTTTAATTTTTGTAAATTAGTTATTTAATTCTTATCAAGGACTAAAGGTAATAGGGAGAATTTCAGCAGAGGACCATTATAGCATCTTATTTAAAAAGAAGGACCAAAAAATTCTAAAATCTCAGTTTAGACCTTGAAGTCTGAAATGGAAATAAATTTGATAACAAAATATCCAAAATACACTTAACTTCATACTTCAAAAAAAAAAAGCCCTTAACCTTAAATAAATAGCCAAAAAAAAGAGAGAGACACTCGAGGAAGGGCTTTTTTACCGAAATACGATAAACAGTAAAACTTTTTGCAAAAATACTGCACTTTTAAAACTATTTACCAATATGCTGCACTTAAAATCGTTCTTGGCAAGAACAATTTTCAAATTACACACAAGTTGTTCTTGGCATGAACAATTTCAGAAATCGTTCTTGGCGTGAACGATTTCACTTTTTAATTTTTTTTTAAATGAAAAAGTGAAATTGTTCATGCCAAGAACGATTTCACTTTTTCCTATTCAACCCATGCATCTGAATTGCTGCCAATTATGCATGCAAAACCATGCGTCTGAATTTCTGCCAATTATGCATGCAAAACAAACCAATTATGCGTTTGAATTTCTGTCAATTATGCATGTAAAACCAACCAATTATGCGTTTGAATTTCTGCCAATTATGCATGCAAAACCAACCAATTATGCTTCTGAATTTCTGCCAATTATGCATGCAAAACCAACCAATTATGCGTGCAAGACCAACCAATTATGCGTGCTCTATAAACATCTTTGACATAGCATGTGAGAATCCCGTGAGGCTACAGCTATGGCTTTATATATATTATATGTGAATTTCTTCTCTTCATGCCGTACGCTTCATTGCTCTTCACTTCTTCTTCTTCTTCTTCGCCGAGTTCTCTTTTCTTCTTCTTCTCACTTGTTGTTTCATTTTCATTATTCTCTTGTACTATTATTTTTTCCACTCTTGTTTCCAAACAAGACAAGCTCTTTTACTGCTGCTGTGGGTATGTTGTTTCTCTTCTATTTTTTCTTTTAAAAAATTTACAGTTGTGATATACAATTTGATTTTTCATCCATACTATCCTTGATGAGTTAATATTTCATTGTTCTAATTTTTAGGAAGTGAGTGGTGGGTTCAACAATCTGGAATATTTATACTCTTTCAAAGCTAGGTGCCTCTTATTTTAACGGTAAAACTATCATCTGTTATATTATTTTAAGATGTTAAGATTTTTATATAAGCTTTATTTTTTTCTTGGTATATGATTATTATTTTTTGTTATGAAAGTATACTTCTCTAGAAGTTTAAATTTGGTAAGATAAAATTGAAAAATAATTATATATACGCCCTAAATATCAAATATGTGGTATATATTAAGTTGGTAAATTAAAAAAAAAAGTCTTCTGCCCACTTCTAATGAACTATTGCTTTCATATATTTTTTAGGTAAAAATAAGTTGTAAGTAAAATTGAAATGAATGAAGAGCACTCATAATTTCTTTTTTTCATTTTGCCTTTTCCATGCTATTTGTTATGTTGTATTTTTTAATTGATGATGACCTATCATGATATGAGTATTTTGAATCCAGAATAAAATACTCTGACTATTCTTCTAGTTTACATTAATTACATAGATCTTTCCTCTATTTTAAAAGCATACATTTAGTCTAATTAGTTAACACTGTTAATAGGAGTATTCTAAAAAGATTCTAAAAATATTATTTTTAACTGAAATTTATATTAAAATAAAATTTATTTACTATTTTACTTCTGATTCTAATAAAGTCTTAAATTATATTTTTATAGTTACATTAATTTCAATCAGTTAAGGCAAACATAAAAGATTTGATTAAAATTTTAACTAATTTTTTATAATAAATATATATATTTAACTAAGTATGTTTATAAATCTTTGTAATAAAGAAGTGTTTAAAATTTTTGAATTATAAATTGAAATAACTTATAAAATATTTTAAACTTATATCATTTAAATTCTATGATAAATAAAAACTAGGAATTTGAAATATATTTTTACAATTTAAAAGAAATCAAAGTAAATAATTTTTAATGAATGTGATAAACTAGAGAAAAAAATCTTTATTTTTGAACCCTTCATTTCAACCCAATGGTCTAAAAGATTTTAGTCCAATTAAATGTTTAATTTCATACAATAAATTAATATTTATTAAATTAAATTTTACAAAAATAATGAAATAATAAATAGGTATTATAAGGTATAAATAATATATATGTGTAAAATGAAAAAAAAATCTTTATGATATGTTATTATTAAAATAATATTACAAGAAAGAATTTTAATATTAAAAAAATATATGTTTAATGTATTTTATATAGTGCAATAATATATTAATTAATACTTGATGTAAATAAAATTATAGAAATAGAAAAAGAAACAAAAGGAAAAAAAATCTCTATTTCTTAAACTTATTTATTTATTTTAATTGCAAATAAATAATTTACAAAAAAATGATTAAAAAGTTCTGAAAATTACTAAATTTGTAATCAAATTTGTTTACTATACTTTAACAGATTTTGACAATAATAGCAATAACACATCTTTTATAGTAGTTTCTAATTTGCAATTATGCAGTTTTCATTATATTTTTTCCCCCCTTAGATATGGATTTCATTATGTGTTTGGTTATATAGGATATTCTGAGCTAATAATAAATATTGATTTTACAAAAAAGTAATGGTATAGTAGAGTTAATTTATTTGTATAACTTGATCTTACTTGACTAATGATTATAATGAAATGATTAGGAAGTAGAATGGATCATAGAAAGGAGTTCGTGTGTGTATTCGCAAATGGACGAATTTTTAATGGCCTAGCCGGTGTAACATTTGAATCTGATAATGTGAAAATTATCAAAGTTGATGAAAACATTACCTTAGGCAAATTGAAGCAAGTTATTGGACGAAAGTTGCGACTTCCTCCCCATCAAAACGTGACAAATTTAGTATATAGGTATCCTACATGCATAAATCCACCACAATACCAAGCATGGAATTTGGAAGATGATATAGATATAAAACAAATGTGGCAAGTGACTAGAAGATTTTCAACTCAATTAACATGTGCAGAGTTATATGCTAACATATGTGATTTACCAGATAATGGCCATGTTGAGTCACAACCCATAGGTAATTATGTCGAAAATATGCCCCCATCAAGTAGCAATAGGGTGAATATGATAGAACAAGAATCTATGTTTAGTGATCACATGGAAAGTTTTCAACCATTTGAACTCCCCATAAATGGTGGGAACATTATATCATCATGTTCTCTTTCTCACGTAGAAGATATCATGGATGAATCAGAGGATAAGGAAGAATATGATTCTTATTTAAATGCTAGTAACGGGGATGATAATAGTGACAATGACAATGAATATGACGAGATGAATGAGCAAAATCAGGTTGCAAATGCTTCCTTGTCACAAATTCATGTTGAGTCAGTTACAACTCCTGAATTTGGTGAATTAGAAGATATTCTGCATGTTAGTGATAATGAAGAGTTAAATGTTGGGAAAATATTTAGCAATGTCCAAGTTTTAAGACGTGCAGTCAAACTATATTCTGTTCGTGTTCATCATACATTTAAGGTCTATTATTCTTGTAAAAAGTATGAAGAATATCGTTGTGTTAATTATGGAGAAAATTGCAATTGGAGAGTGAGGGCTTGCAAAAAGGAAAGCAAGAACTATTGGCAAATTACAAAATATGGGGGGCCTCACGTATGCTTGAGCACGTCATTAACTCAAGACCATCCAAAGTTGGACGTAGATGTTATATCATCCTGCATTGTGGCAATGGTAACTGACAAACCAGATGTGAAAGTGTCACAAATTATTGAGAGGATGCAATCAATGTTTGGTTATACTGTGTCATATAGGAAAGCGTAGAAGGCAAAACAATTAGCAATTGCGGTTGCCTTTGGAAATTGGGAGACCTCATATTCCTTGCTCCCAAGATGGTTAGCTGTAGTTCAACACTTC